AATTGGATGCTGTGTTTTCAGATAGCTAGATAGCTTCTCTACTACTTCCTGTAGATTTAGATGCAACTCGCTTAACACTGCTGTTGGTAGGAGTCTCCCACTGTAACAAGCATGCTTTGCGCTTGGAACCAGGTTCTCTACAGCACGCACCCGCAGGCTGGGCAAACAGTACTCCCACATTTGAGCGGTAGCGTTTCACACCCACAACACGCAGGGGTAGATTGACTGCAAACAGTACAAAGCACTGGGACTTCAGACCCGTGCTGAACTCTAGTGTCTCCCTCCAGAGGCTGCAGTCGCAGTCTGCATTTTTCCAAGAGAAAAAATGAACATGCATGTAACAGACTTTGTAACTTTGACTGGAATTTAACTGTTGTAGCAACAGGGTCAGTCACAACAAACTATTTACCAAGCCTCATGGTAATGACAATGGCCTGCAGCACTGGTTAATCCCATGGAGTTTGCTCCCATTCCTCATCTCTTTCTTCTCCAGCCATCCAGACTGGAGACTGAATGCTTTTAAGATATTAGAAATAGGGAAGAGGCCAGCTCTTTGGCTGTTAGCAGCATCTGACAGCATTCAGGAGACAGCTATTCCTCCCAGCAGTTACTAAGCTGAATACTCTGATTTTTGCTGGGCAAGGCCAGCAGCATTCCCACTGCCTGAAAGACCCTGCTTTCAAGTTGTTGAGTTCATTTCCCTCTTCTCTCCGTTAATCCCCGTCTCAGCTGAAGCGACTTCTCAAGCCATTGGTCCTTAAAACAGAGAGGTCACAGGCTTTCATTTATTACAAATTGCTTTAAAAAAAATCTGCCTGCTTTATTCCTTGTGAAGTCCATCCATTTCAAACCTTTACAAGACAAAATGCACCTTCTTTGCTTTTTTGGACCAGTCCTGACCTGTATGTTTTCAGTTTGTGTCCAGCACACGTGTATTCTCAAGCCGGTTTGATGGGAAAATGTTGATTGGATACAATACCTATAAAAATGCTAAAAAGAGTCAGTACCCATTTTCAACATGTGCCCTTGATAGATTCCTATGCAGTGAGGAAAGATTACAAAGACTCAAGCATGAAGATTTTTACCCTGAAAACATGGCGTGGGCATCTTTTGCATCACACAGAAGCCGTGAGCGGCCAATGGCTGTAGCCCCACTTGAATGGGCTAGCCATGACTACAGCTGTTCTGCAGTTTCTCATGAAGCATATAAGAACTCCGATTTAAATCAAAGCCTCTCCAAAGAAACATACCACCTCATAAAAAGCTTTTGCTGGCAAAACCACAGGGAATGAGGCCCTTCTCTTCCAAATACTCCAATAGGTAGAAAACTCACCTGGTACAAAAGACCACAATTAAAGTCTCTGATTTGCACTGGACATCCCTGAGCACCAAGATACTGGCTATATTTCTTCCTGTGGTCTCATGTTCATTGTGGAGAATTATTTTCTGACCTAACGAGCATGTTTGCAGGCAGCAGCACAGAAATTAACTAAGCTTAAGACGGCACCTGCTATCCCCCACTGTACAGCTCACATCTGACCTCACTGAGATGTTACTGAAAGTAGCTAGGCTATGGATCAAGATGTTATGCTACCCCCCAGTGGTTAAAGCAGCCACTGGCAAAAGACTGCAGTTAATATTTGCAGTGGATTTGTGGAAACTTGTAATGAAACAACCCAGTCACAAAATATATTATCTCAAGACTTACTGAAGCTACTGCATCTGTATAGCGCTATGCGTTTCTTGCTAAGACCTCTGAGTTCATCTTATAGACAAAAAATGAATTTCTAAGTTGAACACAAAATGCTAGCAAGGTTTGAATGTCTTTATTGGGTTTTTATACAGCAAGAAGAAAGTTACAGAGTTCATTACAGTACAGATTCTTGTAGGGGTTTATAGGTGCTTACTAATTTTTGGTTAGATTCAGAATATAGCAGAGGCTCTTGGGAGCAAGGAGTGCACAGTCAGTCTCAGATAGCAGGAAGTACTGCCCTACTGTGCTGAACAGCAACTTGCTAAGTCAAAAGCTGCCAGGCAAAAAGAATTTAAACTACATGCAGTGTTTGGCAAAGGCAGCGTATTCAAAACATCAGCCCTGGGCTACCCTCTAGGGCTTTACACAAGAGCTTGTGATTTTCAAGGTAACAGATCTATTGAAAACTAAGATGCTTCAGCCCATGAATATTGTTTCAAGCAGGACAGAAGTATCCAAGAAACCACCGATCCAAGCTGTACCTTGCAGCTGATCATGCAAAATTAAGTGACAGCAAGTCCTATTGATTGCATAAAGGTGAACCATAACTCCTTTGTATTATAGTCTTAAGTGAAAAGAGCTGCACTAAAATTAAAAACATACCCTGTGACCCAATGACAACTATTAGACCACAATCATAGTGCAAGGGTAGGCTCAACCCTGCATCTTTTGCACTCTTAGGCAGCATCCTATTCAACTCAGGTGGGATACGGGGGCATCAGTAAGAAAGAAAAAAAAAAAAAAAAATCACATTCTTTCAATGTGAGGGAGAAGTCCAAACACTGAAGTGTTATTTAAGCCAGTGGTTCTCAAACTTTTTTTTTTTCCATGGACCACTTGAAAATTGCTGAGGGTCTCGGCAGACCACTTAAACTTTTTTTTTTTCTACAAATCAAAGCACACAAAACTCATATTTTAATATCAGTAGTCTTACCTTTCTAATGTGATGGATGTGCCTGTTTTTTTGAGCAAAGTTCTGGGAAGTCGGGTCTAATGTTTGTCAGCTTTCACCTTGGGTCACCTTTCTATGGATCACCTGAATGGAGTTCGTGGACCACTGGTGGTCCATGGACCATAGTTTGAGAACTTCTGATCTAAGCCACATTGGAGGGGGGAGTGGGGAATAGTAGCTGGTTGCTCAAAATATCCTAGGGCTATTGATCCTTCTAGCCCAACTCAAGTAGCTTCAGTGCTGTGCTGTTAGGACCTACAGTCAGTTTCAGGGCTGCTGTCAGTCACAAAACTTCTTGTAATAGGGGAAAAGGTCTTTTGGCTAAAGCCTTAATGAAGTGCCAACAGCTGAGCACATGCTGTTTCTCCATGAATTAGCCAGCAAGACTAGCTGGATTTAAACCATGCAAATAACACTAAGCCATTTAAATGTCTACCACCATTATTTATAAGCATTTTAAAGAGGCCCTGTCTAGCCAAAAATAGGAATCATACTAAATCATAGAACTAAAGCCATTAGAAAACCAAGCAGCCTTGTAAAACCCAATGTTACTATGAACCTGACATGGGAGTCAAACCTCTGGTGCTGAAAGGTTAAGTTACAGCAAGTCTGCTGTAGTTACAGCAAATCTGCCCTTTGGGATGGAGGGTAGACCCGATGGATCTTGAGGTCCCTTCCAGCCTTGTCTATGAAATCTATTAAGTCAGTCACTAAACACTTCACACTTTACTTCAAATGCTTCTCCCAGGTCTAGCTAGTTTCTGCCATTAAATACTTTAATGGAAGGGAAGAAATAACTTCCAAGGTAAGCTGCTGGATACGTAGATAATCAATAATCCTGTACCAATTCTCCAGAGCCAGAAAGGCCAAGATAACATAGTACAGGATGCTCTCAAAAGTTTACTGAAGGACAAATTGATTTCCTTAAAATCCTAGAGCAGAATAAATTGCATGTAACATGGGGAATTTAGCCAGCAGGGAACTAAACACTTAAGAATGAAAAGCAATTCAATATCTAAGCACTTACGCAAAATTCCTATTTCCAGAATTAAGTACAAGCATTAATCTACTTTATACCAAGGAAGGCAACTCACGATCTGAAGCCAACCAAATGTTTGCAAGTGCCCCAATAGGATACTTGGGTTCTGCATTAGGAAATAAGAACTTACTGATGTATATATCCTGCATATCTATCTATATGCCTGTAGTGGTAACAGAAATTTGCTAACAAATTAAGTCTGTGGCCTTTACAACACAACCCTAAGAAAATAGCCAGCAGCTAACCACAGGAAATTTGGCTGGCATGCTTACTGAAAGCGAGCATTTGAACAAACATGACCCAAATGCATTTAGTAAAGACTTGAAGATAGACTAGCTTAAAATAAATGGCATAAAATCTGGCCTTAGAAACTGAATGCAGGCACCTGATGGGTTTGGCCCCTGCAGCAGGGAACAGATTCTAAGAGGATCATGTACTAGCCATAGTAAGGATGACACCAATCACGTAGCAGCAGCAGCACTCAGAGCTTTGCACAGCAGAGGGTGATCATGAAAGCGCACGCCAGAACCTTCCAATGAAGAGGTCATTGGACACTCACCCTTCTGATTCAGCTACATTGCCAGCTCTAAAGCCAGCTTTGCAATTAAATCTGTTCTGCACAGAATTTGCAGGAATTTCAATAGGTCTTGTTCTGAACAATTGCGAGTAACAATTTATAGTTCTCTGAACATACAATTAGAATTTGGCAGCTGGCATGAACACATTACCAAAAGCTTCTCCACCTGCCAAAATGTCCATGATTAGACTTTGTTGCTTCAAACTACATCAAGTGGAAAATACCAGCCTAATCCAAAACTGTGTTGGGGCAAGATTAACTGGACACGTGTGTTCATTCTGCTCTGGAATGATTCCCTATTCTAAGTCCCATAAGCTTCTAGTTGTGTAATATCTTTTATATCTGCCAAAAACTTTGGCATGCCCAGCAGAAGTTTGGGTAAAATGTCAATTCCTTGTGGTTTGTCATGATCCTGGTCTCTGCATACTAGGTTACACATTCAGTTGTATAAAGAAATACTGTTCTGTTGGAAAAAAATGAAAGCAACAAACTAAAGCCAAAGCTTACTTTTGAACCTTGACTTGTGAATAATTTGTTAGAGTTTTGCATCATCTCTCTCTTCAGTGTCTGGAACTGTCAGAGCACCATTTTCTGGGATTATTATAGCACGTTCAAGGAAACCAAGCTGGAGCACTGTCAGGAGCATTATTATGTACTTGGCAAAGTAACAAGGCAGTGACAGATTTCAGTCTTTATTTTGAGGGCTGTCACCATAAAGATCACAGGTCTTGACTTCAAGGAAATTTCTGCAGTGTTAACATTTGAAATGCCAAAGATGGTAGTTAAAAGTAAACAGCTAACTTATCTTGTAGCACCCTATACCAAGGCTCACTAGCATCGCTTTCTCCAAGGACAACATACTGTATGCGAGAGAGATACAAGACAAACTCAACTTGAGCAAAACATACAAAAGGCCAAACTATAGCAATTTTTGCACAAAGAAGTCTGCCAGCATCTTGAAAAATTTGCAAAGCAGTACCTTCTTTCTCCATACTCATGTTCACAATGTGACAGAAGCTAGGCAAGACATATGGGCCCTCAAATACTTGTAGTTTTCCAGGACAGCAAAACTATATACAACTCTAAAGACAAGGATCTTGCTATTGGATATCCTGCTCTTAAAACCCTAGTAACCAAAAATAAAGAAACTGGACAAGAGAAAAAATTTGATAGTCGATTTCTCTTTCAAGTACCTATTGCAACTTAACCCCCTGCCCTTCTCCCTCGCCACAAAAAATATTTCAATTTAGAATTAGACTTCTGTACTAGGTGGGTTTCACTGCACTGAGGATAGGAAACATCCCCTGGTTGGACAGGTTGATCACGGTCAGTTTGCCACCTGAACAATGAGCTGCTTCCGCAGAAGTTACACACTAATACAGCAAGTCCCAGTAATAAAAAGAAGTGATTTTTTTTTTTTTAATTCAGTACAGCTTATTTGATTTACAACGCAAAACTTCTAGATTCCCCCAGAGAAACTGAAGGTTTTTCACATCCACATCAATGCTATTTACTACAGGTTATACCACTAAGTTCATCAACAATTCAACTATTTCCTACTTTGTGCTTAGGACATGGATTTGTACCATGATATCAAAGTAAGCACAGAAAATACCCTATATCCCACAGAAGCAAGCATGCTATTTTCCACTGCAGCCAACAAGTCACACAGATGACCTGGCAGGAGCCAATCAGCTTGGAGCTTTGAATTTTACAGCATTCTCCTCCAAATCATTCCCAACTCTCCTTTACTTAACTGCTATAACTGTCCCCTCCCCCACTACCTGAGTCCAATCAATGTGTGAAATATTTGTTTTCTCGGGCAAGATCAATCCCAGAAACAGTTCACAGACATGCCCAGATAGGGCTGATTACTTTGCCTTAGTCTAGATTAAAAGAGGCCCTGCAAGAGGACTAGAACAAAGCCTCTTTTTCAAAAAACAGATTTTAACCAAGTGATACATCAAATTCTGCAGAAAGAGTGCTGCTCTGCATCTAATATCCTTGACTGTTTACTCCAATAAAGAAATTTGTCAAAGAGAAGGAAAACTAGGATTGCTTTAGGCAAAATTATCTTAAACAAAAGCATTTAGATGCATTTACCAAAAAAGTGATCACTAGTGTGCCATTCTTACTTGCTCCCAAAAGTTACGTTTAGATGAGAATCTCTCTCCAATTCATCTTTATTGGACTTTATGGTATACCCGAGTTCTCATAAATGTCCAATACTGACAATGTTCTCCTTTGTTAAATAGATGGAGAAAAACTTCAGAAACAACGTTATATTGCAGAGGACTGAAACAAGGTAGGAGACTCACAGAAATAAAGACCAGCATTAAGTATTACTTAATGTCTTCTTTTATTTAAAAGATCATTCACAAAATACCATATCCATAAATTTACTTTCTGTTATGAAGCAGAATGTGTTAAGTGTTTGGATTTTTTTTTTTTCCTTTTTTTTCCCCTTACATTTAAAAGTCAACTGTATTGACTAGAAGTGAGCTTTTATATGGGAGCTTTCTTGTTCTTAAAATCTTTTCCACATTGATGATGTAAAATAGGTCAAATATTATTGGTTTGGAATACAACCACACAAATGCATGTCTGTCTTAACTTAAGTATTCGTGTTAGACAAATGGTTCTTATGTCAGAAGCAGATTAAGTGATAGGCAGAAAGAAGGAAAGAATAGTTCTGTAAATTGCTGGGACTCTGATGTTACAAAAGGTTAACAGGAAGGAAAAGAATATGGTACTAGCAACAGAGCCGGTACTGAAGCAGCCTTGCTTTCAAACAACTTATGTCCTCTTTGAGGTGCTCTAGTATGTTTGTTGCTTGCCTGCTATCTGAAAATTGTCAGCACTGATGTTAGGAACCCAAGAGTTATTTCACACTGGACTTGTCTTCTCAGTTTTTTACAGCTCCAAGGTTTGTATTTTTTTTTTTTTTTACAACATTACAAACTATTCAGGATCGCTTTTCTCACATGCCCTCATCAACCCTGACAACAGTGCATTTGAGGGTCAAGGAGGTTAGGCAACTGTTGTCTGGAGAAACCATTACCAAAAATCTTTACACACCAAGCAGCACAATTCATATCATGAAAGGAGGTAAAGATTCAAATCTTGCCCGTTTTAGAGGCCATTCCAAAAGCAAAATTACTGTCAGCTGTACACGACTGGGTCAAGATGTACAGAAGATGGTGGCAGATAGACATACATGGCATGGCAAATTATAGTATCTTTAAACAAACAAACAAACAAACAAACAAAAAAAAAAAGAGTCAACTTTATTTGTAGAAACTTACTTTAAAAATTTACCAAACATGTGAAACTCAAATTACAAGCAGAAAGAGCCAGTCAGCAGTTATGTGCTAGAATAGGCACAGCTTTATAGCACCAACCTCAAGCTCAAGAGTGTAACATTATACTACTTGTAGACAGCCAGTTACATAATAGTGGGATGCATCTTTCCCCTCAAGGTATGCCTACTGAAGCAAGTGCTTTCTTCATATAAATGTCATTAACTAATTAGGCCTGCCTGCAAATCGTTTTACTTCTATCTGTTGAGAAGCAGTCTCTTCCCTGTGAACTGCCTAAAAGGACTCTTATTTTCAGAATGAGTGCTCTTGTGGTATGTGGTAATCCTATTAGCCACTGTCACAGGCGGCACCTAATTCTACAGGGTCAGGGCTGTGCAAGTTACTTGAACTGTTCAATTTGCCAGGGCTCTTCAGTTTACCTCTTTAGAGCCACAGCAATTCAGAACAAAACATGCAGGGCAGAAAAGGAGCATTGAGGAAGCCAAAAGGAAATGGCACAGGATATTAACCAAGTCTAACCTATGCTTCTAAAGTAAAACAAACCCAGAAGAGGAAGGAAAGCAGCACCTTTGTCCAGCAGGACCTTCACACAGGTGGAAGCAGCTACTAAATGATCTACTGGAAACTGTGCTGCTTGGAAGGAAACAGAAGAGGGAAAACTCAGCACAAAGCAGGCACTAGATACAGCGAAGCCAAGAACGTACTAAAAACCACTTGTTAACAGCTGACATGCGTTCACAAGCTCTGTGTTTTCGGTTTCAAAGAGGACAAAATGTCAGATGGCAGGAATGGTAACTGCAGGGTTGACGTTCCAGCAGAGCTAGTCACTCTGTGCTGTCTTGCTTATTTTCCTGCCCGCCCCCCTCCCCCCTCCCCACTCCCATTCCATCTCAACCCCAAGCTCAGTCGTGCTGCTCTTTTGCCCCTTCCTCTCGGGGCTTGGCTCCGCCAAAGATAGCAGAGTTAGGATTGGCTACTTGATTGAGGGGGGTAGCAACTGTTCGAGGTTTGAGCTGAAGTCGGGGCCTCTGTGCTCTTTCCTCTGGAAAAAGAAAAATAAGATTGTGAAATTGCCATTGAGGACATTAACTTAAAAATTGGAAGCAAAGACTGTTACGTTAGTTTTACTGGGGATGTAGGTTCTTCAATGGTGTTTTCTACCTTCTGTTGGCTCTCTGAAGTCCATGGAAGTCCCACGGAGGGGAGGTCCATCTCTAAAGCGGCCAGTCCCTCCCCCTGCCAGCGGAGGACCTGTTCGCCGATCTCCAGTACGAGTCCCTCTGCCCCGGCCTCCTAAGAAGTCATCATCTCTGAAGCCTGCAGAAGGAAGATGTTGAATTTGGACAGTGTGTTTTTGCCATATTCCAAATCTAATGATGTCTTACCGGCTGTCTGGAACACTGTGTCAATGCCACTGCAGTCAGTCCAAAACACTACACTGGTTTTACCACAAAACTTATTTGGATGGTTTTACAAGTAAGCTTATTACTGAAAACCAAAGCATAACAAGCTTCTGACTGCCTGAGGGTTTTTTCAGTGAACTATCATCATCCATTCAGCATCTAACAGGTTGCCACAGATTTCAACACAAGTCACCTTATCTGTTGTTAAAAATCAAATCCAGCACGTCATAAACCCTTAACAAGTCAAAGTTTAAAAAAAAAAAAAAAATGCCACAACCTCTATCTGAACTGGTGTTGCTATATTTCCCAAGATTGTGTCATCCAGCTCAGAAGCTACTTACCCAGCTAGATATTTATGCCATGCTCACATTCAAATGGTAGCAAGCTCTGGAGATGTACTAACAAGTAAAGATCTCCTTGCAGTCACTACCACTAATCTGGGAAGAGGTCAGATGACTACACACCATGTGCAGAAGCTGGGAAGGCCAGTGCTGGAGCAATGCAGTGCTGCTTAAGCTAAGACTCTGTAGTAACCAACTAAAACAACTCACACCCAATTATTTAAACATTTAACTGAGTATTTGCCATAAAGTCATTTCAGCTAATGAACTAGTCTATTATGAATTGCTTAAAGATCAAAGCATGCTGTACATTTCAGTTAGTGATCCATAACTGTGGACAGTTTCACAAATAAGCTTATTACTGAAAACCAAAGAATAGCAAACTTCTGATTGCCTCAGGGTTTCCATGAACTATGGTCATCCATTCAGCATTTAACTGGCTGCAAAAGATTCCATATTTTAATGAAATATCCTCAATGAAAGGTACCAGACTAACAGATTAAGACAGGAATGTGCTCCAGGCCGCGAAACAGGTATAGTACAAGCACTAGCACTGCAAGCTTCTCACCTACTTGAAGCTTCAAAAATCATACTTCAGTTTCAACCTACAGGAACTGACCAACTGCGTTAACTGCTCCTTGTACCACAAATCCATTCAATTCATGCAGAGATGCTGAATGCAAAATCGGCAGTTGTCCATCTCCCCACCAGAAAATGGGCCAAACCCACCACCCATTTCGCAGAGGACTTTGAACAGTTATAGGATGACCCCCCTCACCCCCCCCAGCAGGAAGGTGTTGTTTTGAAGTAAAATCCATTCACAGAAAAAATTAAAGTAAATCAATCAATCAAGCAATCAATGGCTGCAGGCTGTCACCAGCTATTTTCTCTACAAGCTCCGTCATCTGCTGCTGTTTGCAACAAACTGGCAAAACAAAATAAAAACACACACATGGAAAAAGTTCTGCAAAATATTTATTGAAATCTTTGTTTGGTAAACTTGATCTTTTGAGAGAAGTCATTTCTGACTCTTTCATTTGAAGAAAACATGAAAACATACTTCTACCTGGGGTAAAAAAAGGTTAATATTGGCCTTACATCAAGTGCCACCTTCTGCTTCTATTCAGAAGCAAGTTCTATTACTTAACTTTGTCTGTCAGATTAAAAGACTACCTCGTTTTCCTAATTACACCCTGCAAATAATACTTTCCCAGGTGTCACATTTTGCATTCAACGTTCAGGAGGCATCATCTTTCCTCCAAACTAAGATTATTCCATACAATTCACCATCACCCTTACCTTATCCTGTTGCCTATGCCAATGGAAACCTGCTCTCTAGCAATTTCTGCTAAAACCCACTCAGATGACCAAGTTATAATGCAATAAAATCTGATTCTCAATGAGCAACCAAGGAACAAAATGTAAAGACATATTCATTTATCAACTCTTGCATTTCTTATGCTGCCTCTCAGTAACAATATAAATACTGATACCAGCACTGAAGTCATCCCTGGAATCCCATCCACCTCCTCTTGATTCTCGAGGACCTCCTCCTCCCATTCCTAGGAAAAAAGCCATATATCAGTTTGATCAGGTCTGAAGTTGTGTTGAGAAAATGATTAAGTGGACACAGAACCTGAATTCCAGTCCTTCAATAGCAGAATGACCCTGGTTGAAAATTTAAGCTGCTTAAGTCAGTCAACGTGCTGCCTACTAGGCCTGCGCAAAGCAGCTAGTATTCGCTTCAGATTTGGATTCGGCCGATTTGCGGGACAGCGAATCAATTCAGCGACTCAAATTATGGTCCAGAATCAATTTGGCTGAATCTGATTCAGAGATTCAGCTGCAGCCAAATTGGCCCCATCCCCGCCCATTCTCAATGGCTGCCCCACCCACCCCAGCTCTCAGTCCTTAAAAAAAAAGAAAAGAAAAGAGCCCCCACTCACTAGCAGGGGCTGCCAGAATCTCCGAAGCTCCCTGAATCTTTTCTAAATTGATTTAGAGAGCTTTGAATCCAATTAGGATCTTTTCACTGGTCCCCTGATTCTATTTGGATTTGGAGATTTGGCCACCGAATCTGGCCAAATCAGCACCCAAAGCGAATCAGCACCCAAAGCTTCGCATAGCCCTACTGCCACCAGAGGTGCACAAACTATTTCAGAAAGTAAGAATATTCAAGTGAACTCTCAAGGGACTGATAAGACCATTTCTTTTTAATACAAATTAAACATGCTCAAGTCCAACTCAGGGAGGCAATGGTGAGGAAGGAAAAAATTCCTGTTCATCATAGGCTATTTCACAAGCATCAGATTTAACTGGTGCACTCATGTTACATTGCTTATTTTCTGTGCCAGGGGATGGCAACCCCTGCGCATGCTGCAGCGTGCCATTTTACTTGGCATGCTGCAGCACAGCTGTTTGGAGCCTCCTGGCTGCAGCCGGCCCCGACTCCGGGTAGCTGCCGCCAGCGACAGAGCCCGGCCTGCTCCCAGCAGGGCTTGCAGTGTCCCAGCTGCCTGCTGGGAGTAACCTGGGATCCCGGCTGGTAGCAGCTCCCCAGAGCCAGGGCTGGCTGCAGCCGGGAGGCTCCAAACAGCTGTACCGGGCTCCTGCATCAGTTCCGCACTGGCGCGCCTTGGAGCAGGAGTTAGGCAAGGGGCCTGAGGCAGCACAGCCCTGGTCTCTCCCCGCTCCCGGCATGGAGGTGATGAGCCTGGTGCAGCTGTTTGGAGCCTCCCAGCTGCAGCCAGCCCCGGCTCTGGGGAGCTGCTGCCAGCCCGGATCCCGGGCTACTCCCAGCAGGCAG